TTTTTTGATTTATTGTAGAGACCAGGTCTTGCCAAGTTGCCCAGGCTGGTCTTGAACCCCTGGGCTCAGGCAAGCCTCTCGCCTTTGCCTCCCGAAGAGCTGGGATTACAGGTGCGAACCACCGTGCCTGGCTTCTCATTCTTTTGTTTTGCTTGTCTTTCCCATTTCCTTCAGCTCCAAGACATCCTCGTGTACTGTCAGCCTCCATTGCGACAGCAAATATGTCTATTTCTCAGAATCCCCTCAGGCCTGCTGCAGTTCTCATGATAAAGTGTCTGTTTCCTCCTTCCCTGTCCTCATCTTTCCACATATCCTTCTTTAGCTCTATGACTTCTGATTATTTATGAGTCTCTGATCTTTTTGCCCAGGAGAGTATAAAGTATTTTGGCCCTCTGTGGATGTTTTAGCATGGACCAATCTTAGTGACTGCCATGTAGGCCGCATTAGCTGAGCTTCATTTTAAATTGCCAACAATACCCTGGGACTTTTCTATGAATGAATTGGAATCCTTGGCTTTAAGTTATCTAGGTCAGAAAAATAACTGAAAATATTTTTAGCATTTTCTGGAATCCAGACCCAACACTGTGTTGAGAGGAGGATACTGGTTTTCACTGATGTCTCTATGTAGCAGTGAGCCTTTAGGATGGCTACTTAAATGAAAGTCCTATAGGAAGCTTCCGCTTTCTTTTGTGTTTGTTTCCTGGTGTTGGGTCGTGGTGGGATTGAGTGAGGAGTGTTCATACCTAGGGCAGGAGGGAGACCAAATGGAAGACTCAGGTGGGCATTTTAGAGTGGCAGGAGGAATTCCTCTTTGGTATTTTTCATAACATCTGGTTACAAAATAAGGAACTTGTTGCAAAAAGGACCACGATACAGAATGAGGTTTGGAGTTGAAGGACTTAAGGACTAGAGAAAAGGGAAGCGGGAAGGGCACAAGGGGGTGCCTGTTGAAACTGGAGGATCTTTAGCTGAGGATGGATTTACAGGTCTGGAGGGAACAAGAAAAAAAACCTCTGATTGCTCTGATTTCTGGACTTGCGCTCTCGCCTCCAGACTTTCTCACCTCTTCTCTCTCTTGTCCCAGGGTGAAGAAACATCTTATCTCCTTACCTTGTCTCCACCTTACCTCAGGGAGCACGTTCCTGCCTCCCTCACAGGCAGTTCATGATTTCAAAAATATTTCTGCGGCAGCTTCATTGCCCTGCCCCTGCTAGTGATGGGTGTAAGGAAGAAAGTGTGCTTTCTTCAGTTATTTTTTCTGAACTCTGTCAGAAACAACGAGAAGCACACGAGCCTGTGTTAAGTGGCTGAAAAGATGTGCACCTGGGGGAGAGGGTGGGAACTGCATGAAGGAGGGCTTGGTGTGGCAGAGCAGGACGATGGAACAGAACAGCAGTCCAGGAAGAGGCAACTTTGAGTAGAAAAGGTGTGAATGACCTTTAAGGCAGGAAAAATGAAGGCAAAGAGATCTGGCTTAGCCTAGCTATCCAGGGAACAAACTGCAAATAGATGTGCTGGGCCTGCTTGGCCTTAAGGAAGAGGATGTGTGTGAGTGTTCTAGAAATTGCAAAATTAGATGGAAGTCCGAAGATAAAGAGCCTCGGAGGAGGGGAGAGGAAGGGCAGCATAGAGGAATTTTCCCAAGGGGAGCAACCAGACCAGATTTGCATCCTAAGAAATGTCTCCTGGAGGTAAGTGCTGGCCTGGCACCCTATTGCATTTAACCAAACCTGTGATTGGTTGAATGACACATTTTGATTTCAGAGATGTTAACATTTGAAAATCATGCCTCTAAAATAGTAGAAATACAGCATGTTTTATAAGATCCTATTTTTAGAAAAAAAGTGTTTATGTGTATTTGAAGGTAAGCTTTGAGGACTGAACAAGGGGTGCTTTCACTTTTTTTCCCATCGCCTTATAAGCTATTTGACTATTTTATAATGAGAATTTTTTTTTTTTTTTTTGAGTCAGGATCTCACTGTTGCCCAGGCTTGAGTGCAGTGGCATGCTTATTACCACGATCACAACTCACCACAGCCTCGACCTCCTGGGCTCAGGATCCTTCCACCCCAGCCCTCCAAGTCACTGGGACTATAGATGTGTGCTACCACACTCAGCTAATATTTTGATTTTTATAGAGATGCGGTTTCGCTATGTTGCCCAGGCTGGTCTTGAACTCCTGGCCTCAAGCAATCCTTCCTCCTCAGCCTCCCAAAGTGCTGGATTATAGGTGGGAGCCACCACACCCTGCCAGAATATGTTGCTTTTTAGTTTGAAAAAGACCCTAAAGAAAAAAATTAATGAATGAAAATCAACAAAGGATATCACATCCTTAGGCTACAGGAGGGAGGCTAGGCTGCCTGCAGAGAGAACAGTCCAGAAGTTACTGAGATCAAGGAAAGAGATGAAAAGGTCTGAAGTTGGCAGTGGCCAAGAAAGGGGAATAAATAGATGGACTTGAGAGAGATTGTGTAGGTGGATTCAATAGGTTTGGAACTGCAGAAGGCTGAAGGCAAGGACCTTCTTGGCATCCTCCCATGTAACTAGTCCAAGTGCCTGGGTAGATGTTAACGTCAACCTGTATAGAAAGTATAGAAGGAGTGGTTTTTGGAAATGGGGAAGATGATAAATTCAGATGGGACATATTAAGTTTGGGGTGACTGTGGGCCATAAAGATAGAAATATCTAGATGCTGGTAATATAGGCTTGAGGCTTCGAGCCCCTGTGAATGATCATTTAAGCCACAGGTGAAGATAAAATTACCTAGAAAGAGGTTATAGGTGGTGGGAAGGGAAGGAGGAGGAGAGTGAATCCACATTTACCGAGGAGAAGAAACCTATGGGGGAGTCTTGGAAGGAATGGGTGGGGGTGGGGTGGGGGAAGAGGAGCACCCTTTAGTCGGTGTCACAGGAGCTCCGAAGCAGGAGGAGGAACAGCTTCCTAGAGATGATGCCAAGTCAGATAAGAAGTGAAACATGTCCACAGTCCATGAGGTCACTAGGGCCCAATAGAAAAGTGCTGGGGACAGAGGCTAGGTCACAGAAGGTGAGGAGTGAGTTGGCAGAGAGTGGGGTGAGAAAGACTTGACCATGGAAGGAAGGAGAAAAGAGAATTCTAGATAAACAGAATATCCAATCATGTAAAGTAAGATTGGGGGGGGTGTAGCTGTTAGAAGAGATGTGATCACATCTATGTGCTGAGGGAAAAGAGCCAGGGAAGGATAAGTTGAAGATCCAGAGGAGGAGGAGACAGTAAATAATTGATGAACTGAGGCTTGGGGCGGGGCTAGAGTCCAGAGTTCAGGTCAAGGGATTCCCTGGCACAGGACAGGGCAGAGCTACTTTTCCCATAAAGAAGAGAGAGAAGAAAAATGGCTATTATATGAATTAGGGTAGGCTGTGAAAAATAAACCTAACTCGTAATGACCAAACACAAAGTTTATTTCTCACTTATGTCATGTTTAGGGCAATTTTTACAAACAGGCAGGCAGTTCTTTTCCATGCAATTATTTAAGGGCTGTGACTGATGACAGCTCTGCCATCTTTAACACATGGTGTCTGTATCACCAAACAGCTTGCCAGAAGGGGAAGATCATGGCGATGTGCATGTGAGACATTGTTACAGACTAGGCACGGAAGTCGTAGATAACACTAATGCTCAAATTCCATTGGCAAAAAATTTTAATCACATAATGGCTCTCAACTTCAAAGGAAGTTGAGAAATATGACCCTGGTGTTCAGGAGACTGGTTGATGGCAATGCTGTAGACATACATTCATTTCATTTGCACATGGGGAGCAGAAACCTGAGAGGTTTTATGCATAATGATCTCCTTTTTTTTGTGGTATAGACAAAGATATTATTCACTGAGTATAAATATTTAGGAGAGATAAAGGAGCAAGGATGAGGTTTGTGTATCATTTATGAGTACTGGGAGAGGCATATAGAATTGCCATTTGATCAAAGGAATCAACTTACTTTGAAAGTGTGTAGACCCCATCACTATGTGACATTCTCCATGAAGGCACAGTGCCTAGGGGGTTAGAAACAGGGAAGGCAGACTCTGGGCTGTTCCAAGGTTGAGGGTGTGGAGGTGAGGACATGAATATTAAGATTATGGATGGAGGTAGTGGTATGGATGGATAGTGAAAGGAGTCAGCTCAGAAGGGGGCTAAGAGACAGGGAGAAAAGTGTGAGGAAGTCTCAGTGGGGTGGAAAGCAGGTACAATAGTAGGAAGTGAGTATGAGAGCCAGAGGGGTAGAACATTGTGAGCAGAACATCACCTTTCCTTAGGTCTTGGGGCTTTTGAGGTTTCCAAGTAGAATAGTTTGGGATGGCGACAAAGTCACAGTGCAACCATGTGAATGAAACACGGAGGAGGTGGGAGGCACTGGAGAGGATAATACCATGGAATGGTGAGGGGGTGTTGAATGTCACCGAGGATGGAGAGGACCCCAAGAGTTATCTGTATGCACCCCGAGTCTTGTGGCGTGAGTAATTCAGATGACATCTGGCCTGGAGGACTTGTTCTGTTCCTCATCAAGACACCCTTAGCAAACCATGTGGTCTACATGCGTGTTGTATTCCAGACCACTCTTCTCTATCCGATATCCAGGACAAGTATGGGAAGTGTGCAAAACTGAAGTCATGACTGCTATGGACTAAATGTTTGTGTCCCTCCCTCGTTCACGTGTTGGAATGTTGGAATTCTTACCCCGAATGTGATCGTACAAGGAGGTGGTGCCTTTGGGAGGTGACTGGGTCATAAGGGTGGAGCCATCATAAATGGGATACATGCCTTATCAAAGAGGCCCCAGAGAGCTGCCTTGTCCCTTTGCTGAGGGCACAGCAAGAACACAGCTATCTGGGAATCAAGAAATGGACCCTTCCCAGACACCAAATCTACCAACACCTTAATCTTGGACTTCCCAGCCTTCAGAACTATGAGGAGTAAATGTTTTGTTATTCAAGCCACCTAGTCTGTGGTATTATATTAAAGCAGTGTGAAGAAACTAAGTCAATTTCCTTGCAGAAAGCAGGTCTCCTTGCTATTAATATGCATATATTTCTTGTAGGATATATTCTGATGTGTTTATTCTTTGCTTTCTGGATGTAGAATGGTATTACCACCCAAGAAAGTGGAACTGTTTGCTGTTGTTGTTGTTAAAAATATTTAAGGTTTATTCTGAGCCAAATATGAGTAACCAT